CTACAAAATAAAACTCAAGCCCTTTTCTAATCCCCTGATTCTAGGAGCAGAGACTTGAGAGGGACAATAAATACTGCTGGTGCTATTGATCAACTCCAAGCTCCAGTGCAAATGTTGTGAGGAAGGCAGGCCAGACCAGAGAGACAAACCTGCTGTTGACGCAGCAACACCCTGGTTGTTGTCACCTGACGCTGTGTCACTGCTAAAGAAATGATCGGCAATGGTATAGACCTCCACGTTTTAGCTCCGGACTGACCTTTAAGCATATTCTGGGTCCCTGGGGAGATAACTCAGCATCATTCTCCCAGCATCTGAGCTGGAAAAGCTGAAACTCAATCACAGAAAGGCTCACCGGCCTTGTCAAGGATACAAAGAAGTCAGAAGCAGGGCCAAGACCAGACTCCAGAAGCCCTGGCTTCCAGGAGCTCTCTGAAAGCAAATACGGACAGAGTCTGTGCAACACCACGTGCAGATGTGTTCTGCCTTAGCTACAGGCAGGGCCTTTCCACGCATGCTGCACACACACCATAGGAGATATCGGCGTCACTTTGACGCCACTCTGCCCTGAGTCCACATATCATCACTGAACACCACCGTAGTGGATAATCAGCCACCCAAAGCTCACGCTGCTCTGTGTCCTGACAGCCATTCTAAGACACCAGTGCAGGCTGGGGTGAGTTTGCATGCCTTAGCAAAGTCTGTATGAATTGCTTTGGCATCTCTGTGCAAACATGGAAGGATCCGCCCTTTGCTTCTTTTAGCTGATTAAGACTTTTTAGTACAATTGTCTCCTTTTCCCTCGGTCTCTGGAAACCTCCAGGAGTTGCAACCACATGTGTGAAAGGGGAGGAGAGGCTGGGCTCTGTAGATCACAAGCCTCGTTCCTCCTTTCCACACCTCTGTGTGCATCTGTGATGGAGAAATCCTGAAGCCCTGTTACTCACAAATCCCAGACAGGTCCATCTGGGTCTAGGACACAGCACAAAGCTTTCTGCCTGAACAGGAGGGAGAAGCCCTAGAGAAATTCCCAACCCTTGCAGGCACCATACTGTGATCCTGCCTCTTACGACACCTCTTCGCAGTGGTACAGGATACTCCTAGTCCAGTGTGTGCGTGCCTCCTGCATAAAACAAAACCTCTCCAGGAACATCAAAAGAGGAGCTTGGCACTCAGAGATATGTCTTAATGAAGGTGACAGCAGCAGAAAGCATTGGGAATCCAAGGGGAAGAGAATGCACACCTAATGAGACCAACTCCTTTCTTGTCCCTTCGGTTCCGCCTCCGGCTGGATGCGCAGGGTGAATCCCGCGCTGGGACCGCAGCTCCAGCCTCTCCACGCCGGGATGCACCCTGCAGCACGCCGGGGCTGAGCTGCCTCAGCAACGGGCACAGCAGCTGTGAGCAGGCTCAGAGCAGCGATTAGAGCTCAGCTCTTTGCAATCTTCCTGGTCCTGCTTTGTGCCGAGGCTCTGGCTTAACTGATTTTTCCCTCTCCCTCAAGACTCAGGAGGATGGGAAGGGAAGGGAGACACTGTGCGTTCCAGGCGAGGCAGCAGCTCCCCACAGCCCACATTGTGCATGCAGGGTGCGTAGCAGTGTGCCTGGGAGCATCCTTCCCCTTCCCTGCCCCCATCTCACAATCTCCCTCACTTGCTTCCGAGACGAAGAAGGTGGAAAATTCACATAGATTTTGCAGGTTTTGCTTATTCCTTTGGAAAGCTTAATGGCCAAAGTCACCGTTGGTGTCAGAAGATTACAGAGGCACAAGGCCTTCCTTACTAGCACGCGGATTGTCGCAGAGTTATCAAGACGTTTGTGGGGATGTGAGTTGTGGACCCCCACGTTCCCTGCCAGCTCCCAACTCCACGGTGAGCCACGAGGCCGAGCGTACGGATCCTTCCGAGCCCCCTGAGCCGGGCAGGTAGCAGACGAAAGCAGAGGGAGGCATCTCAGCTGTGTGGCAAATTGCCCCCTTCCTCCCCTTGCTCCTTCCCACCACCAGCTCCTGGGCACTGACAAACAGCACAGGCTCCCAGGAGGATTTTACTCAGAGCATCTGAACATGGGATGGAGGTAATTAATGAAGGACCTGGCTTGTTAAGACAGGACTGCCATGCTCCCTGTGCTGGTGGTGAGCAGCACGGGCACATGCTGCCCACAAGCCACAGCAGCAGAGAGAGCAGCGGCAGCTTTCTTGCCGCTTCTAATTAACTTATTTTCTGGAGCAGCTTTCTCTAGCGCTCTTAGTGGGGAAAACATCACAGAACCAGCAGGGACACAACGACATCTGCACCGATACAACGCCCAGGCACGGAGAAGTGCAATGGCACCTCCACCTTTTTTGCCCTGATATTCCTCTTTGGAAAACCTCTCCAAATGGTCCCACGGAATATAGGTCTGAGGTGTGTGCTGCCTGGTGGGGAAGGGGGGACCAAGCCCAGAAAATGCTGCGGCCCTTGATACAAAATGAACCTTATATGGAAAGGAAAACTAAAATAATACACTGATGAATGGTGTTTTCTCTCAAGAAAAAGAAAGCTGCTCTCACATCAGTGAGTAAGTAGTCTCTGAGGTTGGCATAGGTCCTCAAATTACAGGGGGTTGTGTTTGTTTGGTTGTTTTTTTTTTTTTTTTTAAAGTAGATTTTATAAAAGAATAAGCATAGAAAGACCTCTTCCCATACAAATAAATTGTGTTAATAAGGCAGTAAGTGCTGAGAACACCAGACGAAAGCTCTGCCTGTCAAACTGTCCCTGGTGGCTATTTCTGGCTTACAAGGCACTTGAAGTATCCTGGCAGCCCACAGTGGGAAATGTAGTCCAGATACAGTAGGATGGTCACTCATCTAAACATAATCTCCCAAGGTTCATAAGGACTGTACAGTCACTCCTACCAGCAATCCAGGCTACCCAGCCTCTCACAGGAGCAGTTCATAAAGTGCAGGGAAAAAAAAAAAAATCAAAAAAAAAATCAAACCCAAACCCCGCAAAGCCTTGTTCTATAAATAAAGCCATTGTAACACAGTTTTTATATTTCATTATCTTCTGTGCTGTTTCACATTACACCGGTAGCAGCCGGGAATGTCAGAGCGTAAAGAAAGCGCCGTGCTGCAGCGGGATGGCGAGCGGCGGGGGAGCGGCTGTCCTGGGCGCCTGTACCAACACCCAGCACCTGCACAACAGCTGACAGCCGCCCTACAGCATCCCAGTACACGACCAGCCTGGCACCAGCAGTCTGTGCACAACCACACGACCCCGGGGTTTGAATCAGAGGGTAACCCATGCACTGGGCTACGGTGCAGCACATAGCAAATGGATGCTGAAGTATCAGTATCCCCTAAGGGCCCGCAGGAGAAGCCGTCACTGCAACCTGCTCCCGATGTGTTTCCCAAACAGGAATAAATTGGCCATTTCAGATTTAAAAATGATACAAACTCTCTAAAGGAGGCGGTGTGCCATTTGGATCAGAGCTTGGTTATGTCCTTTGATCGTCACAGATAAATCAGCCAGAGTGCCCTCCAAAATAAATTTAAAAAAAAAAAAAAAGAAAAATATTCTATTTGTGTCACCGATGGGAACAGGAAGCAAGCTGGAGAGGGCATATATGGGAAGAGACTCCGTGCAGCAAGAGGCTCTGCATGCCAAACACTCCCTTGACCAGCAGCCTGGACAGCAGTGGACTCCTACAGTGGGGTTGCTGACTCCAGTTAAAAATTGCAACCGGTGGGCTGGGTTTCCAGCAAACACACCTGGGTGACACACGCCTCTCCAAGCGGTCTGAACCTGCAGCGTGAGAGCATGTGTTCCTCCAAACGCAGGTCTTTATTTCGGGTTCCCACCCGGAGCGACCCGGGGAGGCAGCTCCCGGAGCAGCCGCTGCCAGCCCAGCCCAGCCCCAGCCCTCCGCGCCGGGAGCCGGCCAGCAAAGACCATCGCCAGGGCTGCCAAAGCTGATGATAAAAGGCTATTTTCAGCCAGAGGATCCGGCTGTGCCGGGCCGGCCTCGCCACATGCTGTGCGCCTCTCCCCCGCCGGGGCGAGCCCCCGTGGGGGGGGGTCCCCCCCCCGCACTCTCAGGTCTTCCCAGCCTCTGGCTAAAGGACACGGGGCTGAAACGAAGCAGGGGAGACCCTGAGGGAGGGGCGCTGCGGGGCACCCCCCCCCCCCCCCGCCGCACCCCGGCAATCGCCGGGCCCCCGAAGCTCCGGGAGCCTCCGCGAACTTCCCCGCGCGGCGGCACCCGCGGGCCCGCGGCTCCTCCGCCGGGCTCGGGGAGAGGAGCCGGTGGTTCCCCGCCGGCCGGGCTGGGAGCGGGGGTAAAGCCGGGCTGCCCCCATCCCCTCTCCCCGCCCGCGGGCGCTGCGGTCCCGGCCCCCTCCGCCGGGGGCAGCGGCTCCGGGCCCCCGCGGGATGCGGGCTGGAGAGAGAGGGATGCCGCTTCCCCCGGCGGCACTTTGCCTGCTCCAACTTCGGGGGGAAGCTCGGGCACCCCAAGGCCGAGCCTGAGGCAGAGGGGCGATCGACCGCCCCCCCCGCCCCCATCCCCCCCGTGCCGCGGGGCTGGGGCTGGGGGGGCTCAGCCCGCTGCGCTCCTTCCATCCCGCTGCCTTGGCTCCGCGGCTGGAGCCGTGCCGGGGCGCAGCCCGGTGCTCGCTCCCCCTCCAGCCTCGCCTCTCCCCGGCTCCTGAAAACGCCGCGTTCCCGTTCCCTCCCCGCCTCTTCTCCTGCGCCCGGTTCCTGCCTTGCCCGGCCCGGCCCGGCTCGGCCCCCGGGGGCCGGCTCCGCTCCCCCGCGGCGGGACCTGGCCGCTCCCGCTGACTCCGCGGGAATAATAAATTAAAAAAAAAAATAATAAAATAAAATAAAAAGTTGCAGAGAGGGAAGTTCCCGATACGGTGCGAAGTTGGGGAGGTGGCCGCCTCGCCCTGCCCTGCCGCCCCCCGGGGAGCGGGGGAGCCCCGGCGGGGGAGGGGACGGCGACGGCGACGGGGACGCACCTACCTTCAGCTATCGCCCTCTTCATCTTAGGGGTCGGGGAAGGCACGTCTGGAGGCGCAAAGTCGAGCGGCCGCGGTACAATCCTTGCGAAAGCGGGGCAGATCCTCGTCCGAAACTTCAGCCCGAGCGCGGAGCGGCGGCGGCGCACGGGGAGGGGGCTCTCCCTGTGCCGGCGCCCTCGCTCATCGGGGGAATGAGCAGCCCCCGAGCTGGAGTCAGCATCCAGGCGAGGCTCCCCCTCCCTGTCCGCCTGCCTGCCTCCTCCCTCCGTCCTTCCTTCCTTCCTTCCTTCCTTCCTTCCTTCCTCCCTCCCGCCCGCCGCCCGCTCGGGGCCGAGGCTGCGGCGGCTCCCGCGGCGGCGGGGAGCGCGGAGCCTCCTTGCACCGTATCCCGGGAGCGAGCGAGCGGGGCGCAGGGCTGGAGAGGCGATGAATGTTTTATGGGATCATGTGGTTTGACGTGAGGAGGAATCAGCCTAGATCGGATTTACTGGCTGGAGGAGTGAGAGGGAGGACGGGGGAGACGGGCACGGGATGGCGGGAGGGAGGGGCCGCGCCACGGGGGGCAGAGGGAGCGCGCAGGGGCCGCTCCGGCGGCGGAGCCCCCGCGGTGCCGGGCAGGGCTGCGAGGGGGCCGGGCGGCTGCGGGAGGCTCGTTCCTGGAGGAGAGGTGCCACCTAAAGGAAGCCGCGGAGAGGGACGCCCGGGAGGGCTGCGAGCTCCGGGCGGACCCCGCTCCCCTCCGCCCCCCCCCCGCACCCGGGCGGCCCCCCCCCCCGGGAAGCAGCGGAGCCCCGGGCGCTGCGGGCGGGTGCTCCCCGGGTGCTGCTCCCCGCGATGGGGGGGGGGGGGGGGGGGGGGGGCGAGGGACACCTGAAACCGCAGCAGCACCCCTCCCCGCCGCGCCGGAGGGGAGGCCGGGTCTTGCTTCTGCTTGGTGCGGAGCTGGGGGAAGCCGGCTGAAGGCAGGCCCTGGGGTAGGGTGCGAAAGGGAGGGCTCAAACCTTCTCACCGCATCCCACCGCGGCTCTTTTGGGATCGCTCTGTGGCGCACAGGGAGGGCGACGGCTTACCTCGGTTTACCCAAAAAGCACGGCGGTCGGTGAGGCAGGGTGCAGCTGGCTTTCTCCCATCCTCAGCCCTCCCGCAGGCTTCCCTCCTTCCCTGTCCTGGAGCGGACAAGTGCTTACTGCAGAGGCGGCTCCCATCTGCAGCTGTCCTGGGAAAGCAGAAAGACGAATTTTTATTAAGTGAACTCATTTGCTCAGTGGGGAAAGGAGGAGGGAAGGATGGTGCCAGAGAAAGCTGAACATCTTGAACATGAAGACATGGTGGCTCTGTCCCTGCTAGTGACAGATTTCAAACTGCTACCAGATACGTGAATATATCTATGTACACAGAGGTGTATGTATGCTATTGAATATTCATTCCTCTCTTATGGCTTGTCACCCTAATATTGACCATCTCTAAAGCATTTTGTACTCAGAGCTTGTGTTGTAACCACGTCTCTCGAAGGCCTACCCAGTTTGCAGCTATCTGTGTAGGCATTGTTCCAAGATGAGCCAGGAAACTGTTCCTCCTGTGTACAATAACCCATCTCATCTCACCCAAAGATCTATGGGGTACTTCATGCTGACACCACAATTGTCTGTGAAAAAAAAAAAATGGAACCAAAGGCAGGCCTAACTGGACATTTAGGCCAGATGGAGGTAGTTTGCCAAGTGTGGGCTTTAATTATGCAAACAGCCTCAGCTGTCCAAAGGTACTGGGGAGGTCTGGCTTCCAGATGTCTTTGAGATATCTTTTCTGACATTTTATCAGTCATCCGCAACCAAAGTGGAAGAGCAGAGCAGGCGACAGGCTGCCGTTAGGATATATGGGCTACTTCAATAGAAGTAGCATGCTGGAGCAGGGCTGAGATGCAGAGCTTCCAGGACCAGAGCAGGAGGACTGCAGCTGGCAGAGCTCTGGAATGGGCCCCAAGTCGGGTTCTGGGGGTTTCAGAGCAGGACCTGCCTCACATGCAGATCTGTCAGGACCTTCAGTGCCACCAGCAGAATAGAGATGAATCTGGCTTTTCTCAGGACAGGGCAAAGCCTGCCCAATGCAGCCATGTTCTCATGCAATAACACTCGTCTTTCAAGGCCTACATTTTGGGGACTTGCTGAGAAACAGCTGGGAGCAGGATGTGGTTAGAGTAATTCCCACACACAAGTGCTGGTGCCAGGACTAGGTATGTAGAAAGTCTGGGGGCAGCTACCCACAGAATTTGGCTCAGAGGTGGGATGCTGTGGCACCAGGAGCCAGGCTGGGGAAGAAGCATGAAGAGGAGTTATGAGGGCTGTGGGGTACTGTCTTCTACTTGGCTAAGCTCTGTGGGTTCGGATCACAAAGAGGGGTGCAAATAACCCTGTCCAATTATGCATCACCTAGTTGCCTTGCCTTGCAAACCTTGGAAACCTTTTCACCTTGGTCAAGCAGTGTGCCTTCCCCTGCATCAGGCTCCTCAGCCACCAACTGATCCAGTTCCCCCTTCTCCTGCTCATTTTTACTTGCAGTTTTCCACCTTTTGAAATTCCACCTAAAAATGATCCAGTAAAAGTGTAGCCATCCGTACACCCTCTAAAATGCTCCAAATGCAACGATATAGCCTCCATTCCCCTGGAGAGGGCAGGGGGCTGTGTGGCCCTCTGAGCACTCTGCCCCTCCAGAGTGCAAGGGATGATTCTTAGTTCCTTTCCTTCCCACACCTCCAGCCTGCATACCTAATTGCATCTCAGCTTAGGCATAGACTTACCTTCTCTACTCCTTTTGCCTTGCATGCCCTGTTCCCTCTACTTGCTCTGCATAAGGGCGATCTCCAGCTGTATCCCTGCCCACCCTGTATCCCTGCCCACCCTGTATCCCTGCCCACCCTGTATCCCTGCCCATCCCTGTATCCCTGCCCATCCCCTAACCAGTGTGTGTTGCACCTTTCTTCTCTGCGAGTCCTGTGCACAGCCCGAGGCAGCACTGTGCCCACAAGGTCAAAGGCTGGGACCCTCAGACGGGATTGTGGCTTTCAACACAGCTGCCTCCTTTGGGTGCTTGGGCCAGCCCGTGGCAGGTCTGCTCTGAAGGGATGTCTGGGGGTGTCGGGGATAAAGGAAAGGTGAAGTCTGGGGAAGAGACACGGAGCATTGCAATCTGCTGGCAGCATGCCTTGTTGTTGATTTATGGACATCTTCTGGAGAGGGACAATGATCCTACTCTGCCCCGCTATATCTGCAGTGATAGTCCAGGTGCCACAGGTTAGGAATATGCTGCTCCTCACTTTTAAACACACCTTCAAGCACTCATGTTTTAATAGTGCCCTCTGACTTTACCTTCCCAAGTGGTCCACCAGGAAAAAGAGGTCACCGACATGCAGAGCATCAAGATCGCTGCAGATAAAAGGACGCTGGAGCTGGAATTGTCTGGGAGAGGGCTGGAAGGTGAACGCGAACAGCGAAGGAGTTAACTGAAGCTATAGTCACCAGGCCAAAAATTACAGGTTCTACCAGGGAGGCAGCCGGCTGTGTGTGGCTGTTTGGCTGACATTTCTGAAAGGTTAATCTTGAAATGGAGAAAGCACATCTGTAGAGAGCTGCCGCTGACTTTTCTCACAGATTCCTGCACCGCTTTGGGCTGGTTTGAGACTCAACAGTTTGTTACACACAGGTCACGATGAAGGAACATGGTGGCTGTGACCTTGGTATGCAAAATGGTGCTCTGCAGTATGATGGGTGTCCTGGTGCCAGCTTGCTTTCCGAGCTCATGTTACAAGGTACAGGAGACTGGCTTTCCCTCTGTGCCTGCATGTTGGACATCTGCGCTTTCCATTTCCCAGCACGTCTAAGAGTTGCCTAGCAAGGACTGCATGAAGGAGAAGGAGTCTCCCAAGTAGGAGATCTCCTAGGGGAATTGAGGTGCTTGCAGTTACAGCATGAGTAATTCTGTGCAGCTTGTTTGCAGCTTGGAAAGGAGCCAGCATTCACCGAGATCAAGAGATGCCTTGCTTTGACTGGATAATTACACGTTCGTCTTTACCTAATTCTTAATCACACTTAGATCAATTCTCTTCCCATGGATCGTGAGTCTTGTTTGCAAAGTGTCAACCATTCGCTTGCTCTCTTTAACCTATGTATGTGAGCAGATTGGCTCTAACATGTACTTGGGGCACATTCCTGGGCCTAAGGGTGCTGAGGAGAAGGTAGAAGAGAGACGTGGATGTGGACAGATAGAGAGGGCGCATAAGATGGGAAGCCATTGCCCTTTGCCATGCTCACACCCACCTCTTATGGAATGGGACCTAATGGAGTTGATTCCTGAATCCCAATATTAAATCAAGTGTAGCTTTTACTGTTGTGCTGATCTGGTAGAGGCTTTTTTACATTTCTTCCCCACTGCCTTGTGGCTGCACCTTTCCGGTGTCTGATGTGGATGTGAGCACCTGAAGACATCTCTTGGAGGAACAAGGAGGCAGAAAAAGGGCACTAAAAGACCAGTTTGTTTGCTGTTGTGCCTAGGCCAAGTTCTGGAACTGCCTGTGCTTGCAGGAGACAGGAGCAAGCACGAGCACACGGTGCATAATGCAGCATGGGCAATCAACAGGTCAGGGAATATTACCTTCTCCACTAGATAAGGATCCCTCTGGACCCCTGGACAAATCATCCTTCTGGACACTCAAGAAGACCTTGTCTTGAAGTAGTTTTCACCTGATCCGAGGGCAGGCGTAGGCAGACAGAGGGTCAGACTCTCAAATACAAATTCGAAAGGGCTCCCCAGACCCGCCAACACTGGGACTATTGGCACAGTTTATGTATTATACCGTCTACCCGTTGTCTTATATGAAGGGCACACAGATCATGGCTCTCTCCTGGACATTTTCAGCAGCTGAAACACATACCCTGCAGATTGGCCAAACGTGGAGGCACAGGGAGGCTCTCCATCAGTAAGGCTTCTCGGCCAGGTTTGCACACGTGAGGATGAACTGTGCTGACATGATTTAACCAGACACCCAGCATAGTTACTGCTCCATTTTCAAGGTTTGAACTGATGCACACCAGTGGGTAGGTAAGTTGTATGCTGACAGAGTGACTCTTCCATCAAGCCAGACTACTAAGAATGCAATATTGGATCATCCTACCTGCACACCAAATATATATATGTATATGTACACATGTGGATGTGTATACATGTATACACACATACATATATGTAAAGAGTCCCAGGTTACATATCAGGTCTGATTTCTTTCTTGCAGCAGGATACCCCACTGAGCAATGTGCCCTGGGTAGCAGAATGCCTCCGATGGCTGCATGAGCAAACAGCACACTGCAGGGAGAGCCCAGTAACCAGAAGACTGAGGCACGGCTGGCCACCCTTAGACTCCTTTGCAGTGAGAGATGTCACGCCAGAGACATGCTGACTGAGTCCCAGGCCTGGTGTGAGCTTTGCCTGGCTTGAACCATCCACCCCCCTATAGCGGGCACG